TTAATTTCTGCATTTTCTAGCACTTCATCTCTGATACATAGAAATGCCTCACGTTACGTTCATACACAAGCCAGCCAGTGGCTTGCTTAGGGCCCTCATAACAACCCATAGTTAATGATGATTTCAATCATTATGTCATACTGAGAGAAAAAAAAAGCGTCAGGGGCAGGAGGAAGGAGGAGGCCCACTTTCTTCATCTGAGATCAAAATAGTTGACTAGAAGAATTTTCAAAACACATATGTATGGAGTTTTCTGACACCAAGTACATGCTCTTTCACACCAACACCCAGTTCTCTGATTCTCTGGACACAAACTGGGTGTCCAGCCTTTCAGTTCTATTCTGATCCTCTCTACCTGGAGGTAGCATCAGATCCTACAAGTTAAGGACTCAGTCCCACAAGACTACATGCAAATCGGGTACCACCTGCCAAGGGGGTGTCCAGGCTACCCACACTTCTGTCTAGCTGAGTTCAAATTCAGAACAGCTCATGGAGCTCAAGAAAACACATTTACTGATTTATTATAAAGAATACTGGTCAGGAACAAGTGAATGGAAGAGAGGCATAAGGCAAGGTGTGGGGGAGGCACAGAGCTTTTCTGCCTTCTGTGTCCTCTCACCTGTTCACCAATCCGGAAGCTCTCTGAACCTTGTTGTTCAAGTTTTTATAACCCAGCCTCCATTCTCTCTCCTCTGCCTGGATATTAAGGTTGGGTGGGGCTGAAAGTTCCCACCCACTAGTCAAAGCTTGGTCTTTCTGATGACCAACTGCATGCTGGCAACCTGAGGTGATCTAGGGGTCCCACCTTAAGTCACCTCACCTCATTAGAATAACTTCTGGTGGGCTCAGAAGGAACTCTATGTGAATAACAAGAAACACTCCTATCGTCAGGGAATTCCCGAGGTTTTAGAAACCCTGTGCCAAGAACCTGGGACATAGACCAAATATGTTTTGTATTATACCATATGTACTTTTTTTTTTTAAAGAAAATGTTCTCTTTCTTCTCTCTCACTCTCCTGCTATAAATATTTCCATGCACGTGCATGCATACACACTTAAAATGTTTCCTCTGCACTCAAGGCAGGTGTTAATGAGGCCAGTTCTCAGACGCATGGAAGAATTGGGTTTCCTGTGGTGTGTTTCAGATCCAGGACCCCATCCTTCCTTGCATTTCCCTGTAACAACCCTACATAATTATATCTTGAAGATTTAATGAGAGGGGATCCCAAAGAAATAGGAAGAGAAGGAAAAGCAGAGACTCTTCCAGATGATCTGGGAGTACTGATCTGAGGCTAACTCCAGGTAGAGAGGATCAGAATAGAACTGAATGGCTGGACACCCAATTTCTGCCCAGAAAATCAGAGAACTGGTTGTTGGTGTGAAAGACAGCATGTACTTGGTGTGGGAAAACTCCATACATATGTGTTTTGAAACGTCTTCTAGGCAACTGTTTTGATCTCAGATGAAGAAAGTGGGCCTCGTTTCTAGGTTGACACTTATTATCAGGTACCTGATGTGCCAGGCTCTGTAGGAAGATTTTGTGCAGGACCTCTGCCTTCCAGGGATCTACTATCTGAGTGGGGAGTGAGTGCTTCTAGAGGATAGAAAACCTCTTTCTGGAACATGATTGTTTACAAGCCCTTTTACATATTCATTCTTCAGAAATGTTCATGGAAACCTGTGGTGTTCCAACCTGTGCCCAGTTGATGGTGCTTCTGTACCTTTGGCTAAAGCCTGGTTATTACAGCTCTCCTGTCCTGCAGTATCTTGTGAGATGGAGGAATCCCTCTTTTCCTTTCTCTTTCTCTTTTCTTTCTTTTTTTTTTTTTTTAAGCCATCATTTGTCCCATGCCTACCAGGGCCATGTGACTGACTTGCTGCTGTACACATTTCATCCTTACAGCACCGCCCTGCCCTGTGAGGAAGCCAAAGCTCAGAGAGGGGGGTTTACTGTGTGAAAAAACAAAATGCAACTGAGTAAGCTTGAAGATCTAATTGGCTTTATTAAATGATTGATTCGTGAGTCGGGCAACATCCCATCCAGCAAGTAGAGAGGAACTCCCAGGAGTTGTACAAAATGGAAAGTTTTTATAGGATGGAGGGCAGGGCAAGAAAGTTATAAGCAAGAGAAAAGAAAGGATTGTTTCAGGCAAGGTCACCTTCCCTTAGGGGGAAGGGCAGGGGGTCTTATCAGGCAGATCACCTCACGTGCTGGAGAGGGCCATGTGACAGTTGACCTCATTGATGCTGATCAGAAGAGTCCTGACTGACCCGTTAAAGCTTACAATTCTGGGGGTGATTGAAACTGCAGGTAAGTATTAAGCCCAAATTTGGTGACTTGGCCTAAGTAATTTGGGACCTGTGTTTTTTTAACAACATGCTTGAGCTCACACACCTGGCTCTGCCACAGCCTTGGTGAAAATCCGGGTCTGCCTGATTTCCACCTCTCCCTGCAGCCTGCCTTTTCTGTCCTGTGGGTTGGGGAGACCCAGCTTGGCTTTCAAGTGAGCAGATGTGAGGCATCTTCTGGGATGATGAACAGCCCACTTCCTTGTGGTAGGAAGTTTGTCAGTGCAGAGAGATGGGGTTGGAAGAGTCAGCCATGGTAGAGCCTACTGGTCAGTCTTCTTGAAGTCAAATAATGCAGTCCTGAGTCCTGACCCAGTGACTGACTGAAAGGATGTTGCTTCTCTGTGCCCCGGTCTCCTCTTGTAAATATGAGTAGTTGTCATGCTGGCATTCCTGGATCTTGGCAAGCGAGGTGTACACACGACACGGAACAAACAAAATGGTCAGGATACATGCCCATGGGACACATGCAGCTAAGATCATGAGTCAGGTAGGGGGAGATTGCTGGGGAGGCATCCTGCAGCTCACACGTGGTGCCATCAGGAGAGGCTGAGGTTTGACCAACCCAGCACTTCCACTCCCTGCCTCCCCCACCCCTGCTCTGCCCATCATTTCTGCAGGCAGGGGAGATGGGCATTTGCCTACCATGCTCACCTTCATTCTGGGAGCCCTATGACCCTGATTAGCATGGTGGTAATAATGACAGTGACAGGCTCTGTGATAGTCACCAACCCGGAGAAGCATCCCAGGGTAAGATGAGATCCTAGTAAGGAAATCACAGGTGTTGGGTATGGAAGGGCTCATCACCAGGACAAAGGAGGAAAAAGAACGGAGCTCTGGACCAATGGTGCAGAGACAGAGCAGGCTGGAGCAAACACAGTTTGGTTGATGCCCAGGCATTCCCCAAAACCAGCTTCAACAGACTGGCCCTCTGGGAACTGTCCTTCCCCTCTCCTTTTTCCCCCTCCCCTCCTCTCCACCAACCACCCACATCAATTAGAAATATCAGTGGGGTGGCTTTCTCTCCAGCACATTATACATTGACAAATCTTCATTCTCAGAGGCTCATGGCTTTAAAGTGACATTACTCACCTGGCTAATCCCTCTTTTTTTTTTTTTTTTTTTTTAAAGATTTTATTTATTTATTTGAGAGAGCGAGAATGAGAGAGAGAGAGCACATGAGAGGGGGGAGGGTCAGAGGGAGAAGCAGACTCCCCGCTGGGCAGGGAGCCCGATGCGGGACTCGATCCCGGGACTCCAGGACCATGACCTGAGCCGAAGGCAGTCGCTTAACCAACTGAGCCACCCAGGCGCCCCTGGCTAATCCCTCTTGTCTGACTTCAGATGGTCCCAGAATGGGACAGCCTTTCTGGATAACTTGCCTGTCCTCTCTAGAGGATGGTGGGATCTCTGGGACATGCTCTGGGATCCACTACCACTTGCCTGCAATTCCCAAATCTCAACAGCTTTGAAAATTAAAGGGCTTTTGTCCTCCTTGATGTTGTTTTGGTAACTTTGCATCAGGCTCACGGAGTTTAAAAATCAAACTGAAATGGATAAGCAGGGGAGGAATTTATTTTTCTGACTTAGTATCAGTATGCATGTTTTGCTGCAGAAATAGCGATATGTTTGATTATGGGGAGTTGCCTTGGTCCCAGCTGGAAGTGTTGCATCACGTACCTTTCTAAGTCTGAGAGGGTCTGAGCTCCAGAGTACAGGTGGCCTCAGGGACGCTGGATACAGGATGGGGCCTTTACTGGGGTCTGCCCTGATTATGGCACATATATAGGAGCTGCTAAGCCCAAATGGGCCAGCTCTGCAACCCTGGCTTGGTGGTGCTGTTTGTATAGCAGCTGCCGGGGAGATCCTACCTGACCAGTCTTTATAGAGCTGGTGGACCCCAGGTAGGGCTGGGGTGTGTGGTCCTGGGACAAGGGACCCCAGGCATGGGCCTTCCTCTGGCAGAAGTCACTCAAAAACCAACTTGAGGCCTGGCCCCGAGGAGATGCGTCTGTTCTGGTGTGTTTATGACTGTGTCCTGAGTCTTCATCTGCACCATTGTTGTGATTCAGTGTTTGACCACCAAGGCTGAGTGTTAGCATTTTGGGGTTGTGGCATCAGAAGCGCTATTCCTGCATGAAAATATGAATTCCAGTCCAAAAACACACCCCTCCTTCGAAGGTTCTGAGAGGTTCCCCAGCAGCTGCACGGAATTGTTTCATGGAAATAAATACTCCCCTTTTATTTCCAGCTTAGTTTGTATTCCAGTTGAAATAAGTGAATTTATTTTTCCCAAGTGTTGTTTCAGTGGAGAACTTTGAAAGCAAAACAGTCACTCATTTGGCTAGAAAAACCCCATCTGCTGTGGGAGGGGAAGGCTTGGGGGCATGCAGTGGACCGGAATTAACTTTAATGCTACAGTCTGAATGTGGTCATGGTGACAGCAGGATCTTAAATGTGATTTTTTATGCTATTCACGGTCATTTTGGAAGAGATTATTTAATTCCCAGCTTCCTTATATTTTGCAGATAATAATTCAGTTATGTAAATAAGTATCTGGATCTCGTTTTGGCTTTGAATGTATCTAATGATCTTGTAGAAGAAGTATTAGTAGGCAGGGAAGCAAAGTGCTGTTAATGTCATTGTCTCAGTCCTGGACAGATCACTATTTACAATGGAATGTGTCAGAATATCCGGGCGTGAAGACTGTTCGTTTCCCAGATGGCCTGATTTGGAAGCCAGACATTCTTCTCTATAACAGGTAAGCACATTGGACAAAAAGGAAAAATGATTTTATTCTTGCCTACACATAACAACCAAGCATATTTGCGTATTTTATAGAAACGCCAGACACATTATCTGTAATTTGTGATCCTTGCTGCCCATGATGCTTCGTGAATGGCCAGGCCTTTGAGAAGCCTTTTGTCCCCCTCTCCCATGTTCTCTGCCTTGGCATGCAGGCTTGCATTACTTAGCACTCTCCCTACGATGACCATGTCCATGGGGCTGTGCATTATAGGTACACATATACGTTTGTGCATATTGGCACTGAGGCATTTTTGCATGTGGAAGTACCTTTGCACCTGAAGGGCAGCAGTTATGGTCACAGCATAAGTTGCTGGCCCATGGCATGCATGACTGAAATCCACTGTTTGGACCCAGCTCCTCATTTGATGCATTCCCCAATATGCATTGGGAGAGCCCTGCTGCCAGTAGCTGAAGTGCATGAGGATTGTCACCTCTAGCTGAGCTTGGAAGCTTGTGACACAGGTTGAGTACGTGACAGAAGGCATATAACAGTCATATTCTAATAGTCCTGCTTCTGAGGTCAGGAAATGAGGGATACATCAGTAATCCAGGACAGTCTGACATGTAGACCAGATGCCCAAAAGGCAAGTATTCAGGTAGGGTAAATTTCTAGAAGCCCTAAAATTTTTGGCTAAACTACATAATCAAAATTGGGATCCAGAGCACCTCTTCCCTGGGTCTGGAGTATGATAACGAGCTTAATATAAAAGAAAGTTATTTCCTGGTGGTGACTGCTGCCTTTGGTCTTACGTAGAAGAGAAGGAAGCCCCATGCCTTCCTGACTTAGGAAACAGTGTGACCATTGGCCACTGCCCGTGGTTTTCACAGAGTGATTCTGGGACCAGCTGACGTGTTTGTCCTGTACTGACTGCGTCTAGGAGGCTGGGTGATTCTTTATCTTGTATCAGCTATTAATTTAATTTGCTGGCAGTTACATTTCATTTGAATCATTGGGCCTGTTTCTAGAAGAATATTATTCCCTCCTGATTTGCTGCCGCTCTTCAGCTTCTGACACCTGAGTTTTGCAACATGTCTAAAATCAGAGTAAGTGGTCCCCTACTGAGTAGGTGAAGCCCATGAAATCCCATGGCTCATCCTGGGGTCATCAGTGTCCCAGCGCTGCCATAATAAAATACCACAGACTGAATGACTGAAACAACAAAAATTTGTTTTCTCACAGAAACGTATTTTCTTTTGGAGGCTGGAAGTTCAAGATTAAGGTGTCAGCAGGTTTGGCTTCTTCTGAGGCTCCTCTCCTGTAACTTGTCGATGTCCACCTTCTCCCTGTGTCTTCACATGGTCCTCTCTTTGTGCCTGTCTGTGCTCTCTAATCTCTTCTTGTGAGGACAGCTGTCATATTGGATTAGGGCCCACTCTAATGACCTCATTTTAATTTAGCTACCTCCTTAAAGACTCTTTCCAAATACAGTCACGTACTGAGGTACTTCAGCATGTGAACTCGGACTTCAGCGTGTGAATTTTGGGGGGAACACAATTCAGCCCCTAACAGGGCCATTGCCATTGACTACTTAAGGACAACGAGTCAGGATTGGAGAAGTCGAGGTTATGAATCTTAGCTGTATATTTACTGTGTTTATAACTGGGCAGTTAAGTCTTAGACTCCTCCTTTGCAGAACAGGGGAGATGCCAGCTTCACAGAGTTTGGAAGGGATCACTCTATGGATGTACCTCGCATGCTTAGTGTGGTACTTGGCAAAGACCAAATAGCAGTTGTGCTCTTACAGGCATGGTAATGAGGATTTCTGCTCCGAGTAAGATGGTAGGACAATTCAGAAGGAAATGTCAGTAAGGGTTTTGCATTGTGCCTAATTTAGTTCTTTTTCATTTGAAGTCAAGAATAAATATTATAATGTGGTAGAATCCTAATAAGGCTCTAGAGATGGTTCTTGTGTCTTACATGCAGGACCTCGAACTCTAATAAATAAAATGTTTGATGATTCTAATGTTCTGGCTTATGAAGAGTTACCAAGAATCCTATATAAACTGAATTTCAAGGAGCAAAGGTACAGTCTCCACCTGCTGTCACCAGGGAGCAGGCCCTCAGAAATAATGTTACCTCCCACATGTGTGACCCAACTGACGGTCCCAGAACCCCTCTCATGTTTCCCCTTGAACTCTAAATAACTATCTTTTTCTTCCCTCTTTCCCCCATCTCCCTGTTGGCCACGTCTGCTAGCTTCTATCACCAGCCTCCTCTTCTGCCTCAGTTTTTCTGAGAAATGGGATGTCGAACCTCCTTTCTGAAGTAACTGTTAAGTGTATGGCTTGCATGTCCACGCGAACATGGTGTAGCATAAGCAGGTTACAGAATGTATTTTAAGGCATCATAGACACAGTGTCATTTATCTTTTGCTGCTTGACAGACTACCCTGAACTTAGTGTCTTAAAAAAAAATGTATGCATATCACTTCTCACCAGGCTGTGGACCGACTGGATCCAGGTGGCTGCCTGTCTGTGCATGTGAACTTTTGGCAGAAAGCAGGGGGCTGGGGCTCAGACAAGCTGGAATGTGGAGGGTCTCAACCCCACGGCTGGTGGTGGTGGCAGCTGCTGGTGGGAGCTCAGCTGAGGCTGTCACCTCTGCCACCTCAGCTCCCTCTAAAAGTCTTTCCACTTGGCACAGGCATCCCCCAGGGTGGTGGCAGGGGGTGCTCAGAGAAGAAGGAAATGAGGGCCACCAGGCTCTGTAGGGACTGATCCTAAGAACCCCAGAACGGCCCCTTCACTACACTCTGTTGGGCAGAATAGGCAGGGGCTCAACCTGGATCATGGGAGCAGAAGTCAACCTCACCTCTCCAGGGCACACAGGGAGGGAGGGAAAGGGAGACAAAGGTATGCTCTGTGGAAGGGGAGTGGTGAAGTGGGAAGGCCAGATTGGAGTGTGGTGGGGGGAGGGGATGCAGGACCAAAACAGACATTTGTAATGAAGGAGCATTCAGTTAAGTGCACCCTGGAGGGACCTGTAGGAGGGAGAGAGAGCACAAGGAGGCAAGCAGAGAGAGTTTCCAAACGAAAAGTGATCCCCTTATCCCCTGACTCCATTCACTGGCTTACCTCTGCTATATGGACACAACTCACAAGGCCTGGCCAGCAGGTGGGAGTGGCTGGGCCCAGCTCCTGCAGCTACCTCGTACACCTGCTGCTGCCCAGCTAGAAGTTTGTCTTTCAGTCCCTTGGTGTGTCTGGACTCTTTTCCACTACGGGACATCTTCATGAGCTCCCCTCTGGACACGGAATATTCACCCGTCCGTCATCCTGTGGGCTTCAGCTTGACGCCCTATCCCACTGAGTCCCTGGTGTGTCTCTCTGTCATGCTCTGTCACAGAAAGGGGTCCCTGTCCCCCAGGGCACATGGGGTCTGCCATCTCCCTGGGGGTCTAGAGAGTGCCAGGCAGGATGGAAGGAGGAAGGGAGGTTGCAGGAATAAGAGCACGTGAGAAGAGGATGGATCCATGTGACGTGGGTGCTGCTAAGAACAGCAAGAGAAGAAAGGAAAGAAATCATATTGGCAAGCTGGAAAATATGAACCTGTGACAGGGCCAAAAATTTGACACAGGAAGTAGCAAAAACAGGCTTGAATTTAATAGGATCCCGACCTTCTGATACTCTGTTATCAGGGATTTTGAGAAATGTTGAGCGTAATACTTTCTGCCAGCTTCCAGGCACTCCAAATGGTATGTTCTCTCAGTGGGCTTGCGTAATGGTTCATTAACATGTTGTATTTGCAGGGGGGAGCTTTTCCTTGAGGGGGGCATGCCATCATTCTTGGTAAGCCACGGGTTTGAAAGGGGCATTGATTCAGGTTAGGGGAAGCATCACAAACATGTCCATCATATTTCTTGGTCTATTCTGGTTTGATAGTGGAGTCCAAGTGTGAGCCACTAATGGTTTTGGGGATATGATGCATTTTCTGTGCTTTGACGAGGCTGGGTCACTGCAAAACAGCCATCTCTGCATCATTTCTGGGATGGGCTGCTTTATTTCCCTGATGGATGGTGAACAAGTTACAGTGTGGCCAGCCAGCTGGCTGGGTGGCACGGAGGAGAGGCACGGCGCTGATAAAAGCATCCCTGCCAGATGCTGATCCCAGTAGTTTCTTAGTTGCTTTATTCCGCTTTACTTTAAGTCTGCAGTTCAAGGATTTTTCTGAATACAGTCTTGCTCAAAGCGAGTAGCAGTTGTGGATAGCTTTCCATGATTTTCCCATTCGGATAGAATGAAAGGCGTCACTTATCAGCAGTCGGCTTGCAGAAGAAAGCCTGAAACGCAGTGACAGCTTTGCCTTCCCTGCAACCACAGGCAACTGCCCCAGCGTCTCTGGGCTTCTCCACTCTTGAGCTGCTCAGTCAGTCATAATAGTGGAATCTTTGTTGATGAATGTATTTGAAGATGTTTTTGTTAGCTCTGTATTTTTAGGACAGCGTGACATGTCGGCCATCTCTTTCTTACCTCCTGTGCAAAACTGCATTTGCATGTCTGCAGACTCATGTCTGGCTCTGAGACTACTGCCCTCTGGCTATAACCCTCCTCACATATTCACATATTCCCATGACCCTGTACCTGATAGCAGAGCCTGGGTAAAGGGTAATGTGCGCAGGACATGCCTGGGTGCAGTGTGATCCAGCCGATGAAGGCCAGTAATTGTGTGCTGATCAGTGAGTTACCAGTGAAATAGAATTTCCTTTCCAAGTGTCTTTGGTTCTGAAATGACAAGTATTTCAGCACATGGTTTATTTGGGAGAGGAAGCAAGACAGGGAAGGGAGGAAAGCCAACATAGGATGCATCAAAAAGCAAGCTATTGCTCTGGGCAGTGGGGCGCATTCCCGCTGGAGACCTCTGGGGTGTTTATCGCCAACTGCTTTCTATCTGTCATAGGTTGACAACTGCTTCCAGGAATGTCAGCTCCCTGACACCACCGCTGCTTGCCTTCC